CTCATTGGGGCTAACATTTGTTGTTCTGCAATGTTGTCTCTAGCAACACTTCAAAATAAAAATTAAAAAATCATTCCTGTTGTTCAGAGAACTCTAACTCTAGTGAGACTCAGTTTGAAATGACTTCGCAACTAAAATCGTAATCTTTCCATTAAGCAATAATGGAAATAAAAAACATGACAAAGAAATGGAAAGCAAATTTAATAAATGAAATATATTTAAAAAGGCCATTGTAATCAAATAGTAAGTCAGCGTTAGATGCAGCTTCTAGGGATCAACAAGGTATAGGGAGCTGGCAAACAGCAGTCCAGAGTCAGCAGCTAAAATGAAGCTTTACTCAGTTATTATCTGCTTTTTCTGTACATGATCTGAGATCCCAAATGCAGATAACGAAGCATGATATTTGTTAGTACATAAAATAAAAGCATATGGAAAGGAAACAGAAGCAAAGAGAAGACAACAACTGCCGTTTGGGTATGCAAGGAATCCCCATGCTCATCAACTCCTACTTATCAGTTCCAGGAAGGATAAACCCCAATATCAGGCACCTACTTGTCTCAAGTGGATGGGATAATTAGTGTAAAATGTCAGGGTCAAGGACCTTCCAAAAGGAACACACACTTGATTATCACACCACAGTTAAACTCCCTGGCCACTGGGTCAGGCCACTACAAAAATGACAGCATCCACCAGAAGAACTTGTAAAAACAAGCATAAAGTCACCATTAAGTTACTGTTCAAGAAATCTTTTTAAAAGGAAGAGATGAAACAAGGAGACTTATAAAGAAGTACATTTATTTTTCTTTACAGCAAATACCATAAATAGAGCTGAAACAATTTTCACTGTGTGCAAAATACAGAATTTCCATGTGAAAATTTAAATACAGCATTAAAAACTATTTAATAAAAATATTCCATTAAGATTATAAAGTAAAGCAAAGATAGAAGACTTAGGAAGAGAAGGACAGAATCCTCACTGGCCAGGAAGAGCTAGGAAGACTCTGTAACAGAGGGCAAAAAAAAAGAAAAAAAAGCATAGCAATGCAACGTGGTTTGAAATGGCAGACCTTTATGTCATGACCTTCATCTCAAAGCATGCTGAACTTAGCAACAGAACACCATAGTCCTGCAATTCATAGGAAGGTGTCTCCTAACCATTTTCCAGATGGTTAGAATATAGAGAGGTTTTGTATGGGCACAGCAAAGGAACTTTGAAAGCCATCAAAACAATTTAGCATGCCCACACAAATCAATACTATTGTTTAGTCATGCAAACATACAGGTCAGCAAGATAAGGACCCTTCAGTTCTTCATTCCTGATTGTGTGTGAAATGGGACAAGTAGCACAGCATGTCTGCCCCCCACTCTGCAAGCTGCTGCTTAGATCTATTTCCAGTCCCCGCTCCCATTGACGGCCATGCTCAGCAAGTAAAGCTGTGTCATGACCACATCATCCTAAGCTCAGGGCACTTGCTGGTCAGGCTGAGCCCTTGTTCCTTCTTTGGATTCATTTCCCCTTTTAGATTATCGTGTGATTATATAGACTGGAACTTACATGAAAAAATACATACAAAGTAATTTGTCTAATTTGTCATGGAGAGTATTGGCAACTTCTCATGCAGCAAGACAAATCCATTAATCAGAGGGCAAATAACGGGGCCTCGTGAGAGCTGGTATTAGTTAACAAAACAACCCAAACCAAAACACTCTGGTTATAAAAAATTGGCATTTAGACATTAAGGACTGAAAAAGAGCACACATCTATTTCTGTTAGGCCTGCCTAGTATGTTACTTGGGGTGGAAGATTGGAATTTGTGTAGCTCTGGCTATTTTTTCCAACAGAATCCATTTGTAAAATAATTTTCCTCTATGAAAGCAAAGAAGCACTTAAAAAGAGTGCTCAAATGTTGGTTGCTCACTGAATATTTGATCTCAGTGAAAACTTGCTCATTGAATATGCGAGTGCAATAGAAATAGGTGCTCATCCAGGAGAATCACCTGGCTTTTATTGTCACCTTATTATAAAATTACCTTGAAAGAAATAAGTAGTAGTTCTTTCAAGAATCAATTTATTTATACGTCTAACTTACCTGGAAGACACAAGGAAAGTAAGGGTACATGCACAGACACAGAAGGAAAAACATTCTCTACAGAGAGAGCAGACATAACCTTTTACAGAACTATGAACTCAGCAACAGGTTAAATGATCATGCCAAAGCTCACATCCATTAATATACCAGACACAGTTTGCTCCAAAATGGTATTAAAAAAATAGAACAAAACACAAAATCAATGCAGTGAAATGCTGTCAAACAACAGTGTTAGTCACACAGTTTTGGAACTGGCAAGCAGAAAAATCACCTGACAGCATAAAGGCTTCAGCCAGTGAGCGGGTGCAACACCGGAATGATGAATTGGACTAAAAGTAATGAGGGAGATTGACAAAGAGAGCACAGAAAAAAAAAACAAAAACACAGAACTTAGCTTGGTTATATAGAAGAGCATCAGTAAGTTCACAAAGAAGAATTGGCCAAAATGAAACTGCCTTTCTTTCATTAAATCATCAACAAGGACAAATAAGTATTAATCTTATTATCAGAGTATTAAGATAAAGAGTTTTAAAAAAGCCAAACAACTAGCAATTTGATTATCAGATTGATACCAATAAACAACCTTCCCAACAACCTCCAGAATCCCAGTGGAATAGGTGGTACAATTAGGATCCTCCAGGAAAATGGTTTTTATTTTGTTTCTTCCCCCCCCCCCCCCCCCCGAAGTCTTTTGTGAGAATTTAGGGATTTTTCTCCCTATTATATAAACCTATATAGCATCATTACCATCTTTTTGTAAAAAGAAAATGCTTTCTCCTAGTAAGATTCATTTCATTCAAACTCATGGGTTAACACAGATTTCCAAGTTTCTTACTGTGTCAGCATTTTCTGTAAGTTTACCATTACACTCTGCTGAAAAGCAGAACATTTTCTTGTAGTGAATAGCAAAAGAAAACATCAGGAAAAATGTATTCTGCAAGACCATGCTGTTGACAAACTGAAATTAAAATTGAGACTGAGTCTAACTTCAGAACTTCACCATTTAGCAGTTTGCTGTGTTGTAGGGGTAACATGGTAAATTATACAGATTTTTTTTCCATTTAGAGTGAAACAACAACTGGCATTAGTAAATAATTTTAAAAGTGCAGACTGTTCTAAAGTAGATTTAAATGCTATGAAAGAGATAATCACAGCTCACCATGTTGATATAACGGCCAATGTGTCCAGTCAGTGTTCTAGCAAAGTTTTGCTAAATGCACATTTGAGCATTAATGGCAATTTATTTCAACCAATTGCTACCTTACACCTAAACAATTCTTTCAAGCTTTTTTATTTTCCCCCAAGTTCTATGCATACTCTTCACAATTTCTCCCCAGAATATATAAGCACTATAAAATGGGAAAAGCTTTATCCCTGTAGTTGAGAAATTACACCAAAATATCTAGAGGAAAAACCCAGTTTGCCATTTATTTTAAACAGAACACATATTTCCTTTTAACATCTAAGGCAGAAGACAACTCTAAATTGTCTTTGCCTACATTCTCTTAAAATTAAAACAAAACAAAACAAAACAAACACCCAGTCTGTAAGAAGCAGTTATTTGGGACCGCTAAAAAGTCATCCTCAAACTTTGGTACAAATTGAACATAAAATTATTTCCTATTACTTACGTCATGTTATGTTGGCTAGAAAAAAACATTACAGGTACTTTTCATTTTAGGCTATGCATATTGCCATATTAATTTGCTTATCTATTTCTTGAGTAACATCTTAATTAAATATTTAAGTACTTTAGAGGCAGGGAGCATGCTGACCTCACTGGCTACCTAGGCTGAGAAAGCAATCAGAATTTGGGGTGCTCTCACTGTCTCCTTGTTGTTTAATAGCCCTACTTAACCTGCTCCTGACAGCTTTTGGTGAAGGTAAACCTTGATGAGAAACACCAGAAAAATTTATTTTACAGCCGCTCCAGATAACAGAATTTCATCTACTTGCTATCAGCTTTACACATTGAAAAGAATGAAGTACCTGATTACAAAGCAATATCCTTAGAATAAATGTATAGTTTTTTTTGTTGTTTGTTCTAAAGTTGTATTCTTAAAAAATCCCAAACATAATAGGACCAGTGCCTCTGGAGGCAAAATACTCGCGACTTCAGTGACATATGAATGCTCCACAACTCAATATTCATTGAAACAGCTGCCTAATGAAGAAGCCTTGAATTGAGGAATAACTCACATCTAATAATACTCCTACTTCCTTTGATGTGTGTTTTCAATCAGGCCATCACTCAGCTCAGATTTGCTCTTCAGACTTATTTCAAAATGTTAAATAAATTAGTATTACAGATTATACCCACTATCAGCAGAGGGTATGAAATGTAAAAGGCATGACTAGGAGTAACATGAATTTAACACATGATTTTTTTTTTTGAAATGTCATGCAAGTTATAAACCTCATAACCCAGAGAGAAGATGAAAGCAAGAAAAAAAAAAGGGATGCGCCATATTCAGGTTTCAAAACCCAGTTCTTTGTCATAAATATTCCCCAAACATCTGAAAGAACAAAAACTCTTTCTTTGTCCAACAACAACAACAAAGCAGAGGGGAGGAAGGCTTTTAAAATGTACCTGTCCCCAATGGTCTGATCCCAAATAGGACAAAACAGAAAAAAAATTTCAAAATATCCTTCATCCGTCTCCATGTTTTGGAAATGTGTCTGGACATCACCCTTCATATTTTAACATACAGTACATTTTACACTGAAAATTTTGATTGCACCTAGTTTATATCAGAAGGAATATATTGTTCATTTAAGTCTCACATTAAATTGCAAGTAAAAATCAAATAAAAAAAAAAAAACAACAAAAAGCCTCAGGAAAATAGCGAGGCTGCTCATTTTGAAAATCTGAAAGGCACAATTGAGCAAGACGCATAGAAAAACTTAAACCCTGTAGAACTTTTTTGCCCATTCAAGCACATTTTCAAGGGATAGCTCTGCTTCCCGGTACATATGAATAAGGACCTCTAGAAGAGCGCAGAGAAATGGCACACCAAGGCTCAAGAGTTCGTACAAGTAGGTATAGTTATATGCATTGTCCCTGAAATGAACATTGGTAGCGTGCAGAAAACCATGCATCCAGTTAGAGAGGCGTCTGGGAATGTCAAGCAGATCCCTTGTCACCCGAAGGGGCCAGCTTAGAGTGCGCCTAAAGAAGGAAGTCAGGATACCTGGGGACCTGTCCTCTGGACTGCTAGCAGTTGTTAAAGTGCTGTCTGTGGTGCTCTCTGTAGCTCTGAGTTCTTCTTTCTTCCAGGCTTCTGTTGCCTCCTTATAAAAAGCATTAACATTTATTAAATACAACTTCTAAGATAAGTATAAAGTCCAGTTTCTGTTAGTTTTTAAGTTTTTAGATATATATTCACTACCAACTGTTCTTAAGTTCAACTTCGTAGGTGAAGAGCTCATTTCCACTGAAAACCAGTCTACACATACACATACTCTGCTCTAGATAAAGCTGCTTCAATAATTTCTGCATTAATGATATAACCAATACATACCTTGCACTGGACCTGTAATGTTGCTCTTCTCTTTCGGTGTTTATTACTGATTTTGCAGTGTCTAAAATGAGGTTTACAGTAAAATTTACCTAGAAAAGAAAAAGTAAATTATATGACCTTTTATCTTTACACCTACTGATGAGAACTGTACTATTTTGTGTACCAAAAAAAAAAAATAAAAAAAAAATCAAGGTGATTAATGGTTCAGCAGCAAAAGAAATGGGAAATCATCTGCTGGTTCTGCACTGCCCACAGCTTTACGGAATCACAGAATCATTTTAGTTAGAAGGGACCCTTAAAGGCAATCTAGTCCAACTCCCCTACAATAGAAAGGGGCATCTGCAGCTTGATCAGATTGCTCAGAGCCCCATGCAGCCTGACCTTGGATGTTTCCCAGTATGGGACATTCATTACCTCTTTGGACAACCTGTTCCGGTGCCTTATCATCCTTATCATAAAAAGCTTCTTCCTTACATTCACTCTAAATCTCCTTCCACTTAATTTAAAGTTTAAAATTTATTTTCCCTTGTCCTGTCACAACAGACCCTGATGAAGAGTCAGTCCCCTTCTTTCTTACAGCCCCCCTTTAGATACTGAAAGCCTGTCAAGGTCTCCCCGGAGCCTTCTCTTCTCCATGCTAAACAGCCCCAGTTCTCCTACAAGGACAGGCTGAGAGGGATTCCACCCTTGGATCATTTTTATGGCCCTCCTCTGGATGGATGTGCTCTTACAGGTCCATGCTTTTCCTGTAATGAGGACTCCACATCTGGATGCAGTACTCCAAGTGAGGCCTCACCAGTGCAAAGCAGAGGGGCAGGATCACCTCCCTCACCCTGCTGGCCCTGCTTCTTTTGATGCAGCACAGGATACAGCTGGCTTTTTGGGCTGCAAGGGTACATTGCTGGCTCATATCCAGCTTCTGATCCACCAGTAACTCCAAAGTCCTTTATGCTGGGGCTGTGTTCTATCCTTACATCCTCCAGCTTGTACTGATAGTAGGGAGTTGCCTTGAGCCGGGTGCTTTGATTGGGTTTCTTTTACAGCATACAGATTTGCATATTCATTAAATAAGGTAAGGCCTTAAATTAATCTAACATACAGGTTTAAGATTAATAAATAGCAGAAAAAACAAGATTCTACAAATACCAAGTGACAAAAAAATGCAATATATCAAGCAGCAAAAAGTCAAATATCAGCTAAAAATCTTTGCAGAGGACTCTCTAGACTGCAGAAGATCTATCTTTGGCCTTGAGACTTTAATTCTTATGTAAGAGGAGATCAGGTCAGTACTCAGATATACTCAAATCATTTGGAAATAGCAAGAGAATTTTTATATAGTTTACTAACTTCCATCTGAACAGGAAAAAAAAAAAAACAAGCAAAGAAAACAACATATAATCCCCTTGCCCCAAGCCTCAGGCTGTAGGTGGCATCAAGAGCCCAAGATCTGAACATCCCATTCTACTACTGGCTGCAATAAAGGGCACGCTGCTTGGCCAGTACTACTGCTTTCACCTCATGAGCTACTACATCTTGAAAGAATACCCCCCACATATACATTTACCGCTGCTCTGACTTGTCTTTGTAGATCATTTTATTTAAAGGCTGGTTATCAGTGTCAGATAAGAATAATTCTGTACTGTTGGCAGAGAAAAAAGGCACCTTTCCATTCCCACCCCATTTCTGACCTGTGATTGGACAAATTGTAGTTTTGTCACTTGCTTTATTTTCCAGTGATGATTTCTTCATTTAAAGATATGTCTGAATTGGCTTCCTTTGAAAGAAGTGAGAGGACTCAAAGATCAACATGGACACAAAGAACATCCTCGGCAGACCTCCTCCTGACTGAGCTACTCTACAAGGCCTTTTTCTCTGGTTCCATTAAAAGCATCAATATTCAGACATATAAATATTCTTAAATAGCTTCTGTGTTACCTTCTTCAACATCAAAGGCATAAATTCCTAATCGGAGAGTTGTAGAACATATTTCACACTTGAAGCACTCCCTGTGAAAGAAGTGGCCTTCTGCACTCAGCCGCTCCATAACATATACCCGTTTTTTGCAGAAATAACAAATGTCACTCCCCCCAATAGACTGAGGAAACTCTTTTCGCAGAGATCCCTGTTAAAAGATAAAAATAGAAACACATATGAAGCCTTTACAGGACACCTAGATATAAACTCTCATTGAAGTAAGCAGTTGCTTTAACTGCTTGAAGTTTTATACAGCCCTTTCTCCACACACAATTAAAAAAATGCATCAGTCAGCTTTTTTTTATTACTGATAGGCTGCAAGCCTGTAGGTTTAAAAAGCAACTCATAAATCAGACATCATGAAAATCGAAAGGATTGAGCTGCGGCTGGACTCACACCCAGCTTCCCCCCTTCAGCTCATGGGTACTTCACGTTTGCTCAAGTACAAGGGCAGCATCAGGCCCATGCGCCCAATGCCCTGTGCTGTGTGGACTCAGGCACTTGCAATCATAGCTGCAGATAGCAGTGTTTCTCAGATGAGGGTGAAGGCAGACCTTGCAGCTTTGAACAACAGGCACACATTTGGAGCTACGCAAACCCTGAAGACTAAGTTCATCTCAGTAGTACTGAGGTCATACTCAGCTTGTAGCAGCTCCTACTGCTAAGGAAAATTAGACTTGTGCTTTAAGTTGAAGGAAGAAAAGCCAACAGTTGAACGTGGTGGTTCAAACACCAGTATCAACATCACCCACAAATGCTCTCTCCCTCTCAGCCGCATTTCTGCCTGCGCAGACAGCCCAAGCTGGGGCTTGGTTTGTTTAAAAATCAGTTTCATTCCTACCATGGACATTCAGCATTCTTTAAATTCATTGGATTTTAAAATAAGACTCATGTTAACAACACAGATATTTTGGAACTTTTTGTTGAATTTGGCCAGTTAACTACATTTTTTTCCTAATTGTCACAAACTCTATGTTCTGTATCTACATACAAAGGCACAGAATAGTAAATTATAAATAGAACAACGGACATCCCTTCACTTATTAGAGGCAGGCATGAAGAGGCTTCTTTGTTTCACTGTGTTGCTCTTAGTTACAGGTCCGCACACATGAGCATCCATCCGTGCTCTTCTACAGCTGCTATCATCTCCCCCTCCTCTCCTCACGATGTGAGGGTACCATGCTTGAGATAGAGGAGCTGCAGGCCTGGCAGGGCCCACTCAGGTTCAGACACCAGCATGCAGTCCACACAACTCATCTTTAACTTGCCAGCAGAAGAAGGCCTCAGAACATTTTTTCAATGTTAAGTTTAAGTCACAATTGTTACAGACATGAATCACACTCTTGAGCTTAACAGCTGAGAATCCTAAATAAAATCTGCTGTTAGTAACCTGTTGTGCTGTGCTGGATCGTTTTGCACTATGAACCACACGAAACCTTCCAGGTGAATGACCATGCAAATAGAAAAGAATAGAAATACATTTATAAAAATACAGTGTTAACGGAACAGGTCAGATAGTCACAGTGAAGCAGAAGCAATTAGAGTTCAGCACTGGCTAATAAGTCAGCGTCAACACCACAGCACCCCAGACTTAGCTTCCCGATACCTGACATCTCTGAGCACTGGAGACAGGATGTGGAGAACAGGGAGTGGGGAAAGAACCTGTAGTTCTGTCCAAAGACTGGTTCTGAATTCAAACAGGATTGTGTCAGAGTTTAAAAATAGCTTTCTTCAAAACGAAGCATGGTGATTCAGCATTTGCATGTTGAAAATAATTGCATAAACATGTACTGTACCAAAATTTTCTTTAGACGCCACCTTGATTAATAACCATTTTCTATTACTAATTGTACCAATAATTACATTTAATAAAAGCCTCCTGAAGTTTTATTTCATGCAGACAAGTAATAAAAGTACAAGTAGAAGACACTGTGAGCAACGCTTCCAGCATACCCACATTATTAGCGTATACTGCCAACGTGCACTCGATTCCTCAGTAAGCATTAGGCTAATATCTTTCATAATGCTGAAGGTGCACCACAAGTAAGGTGTTAAATCAGGAGGACACTCTGGAAAACACTGCTTTTAAGTAAAGTTGTTGTTTCTTTGCGAGTTTAGTCTTACCAGCTCAAGGGGGGGAATTTGCGACTTGGGTCTGTGATCATTCACATACAGATTGACAAGAACTTCAGCCATAGCTCCAATTGCACGTGAGACCTTTCCTACAGTCATCTAACCAGAAAAGGAGAAAAGATGAAGAATTGAAGGAAGAGCTTTAGTTGCTTGAGAGTTTAATGAGAAAAAGATGAGAATGACTTGAAAACATGCAAATGAATGAAAGCGATGATAAAGACAGGCTCTGAGAAAAAGCAGACACAAAGTACAGCAGAGCACAAGCGTGTTCATGCATGAACAGCACAGTCCAGCTGGTGGCCACAGGAGGCTCCCAGGCAGACCACACACTTTTCTCCCTGTGGATGATGGAGAAATAGCTGCTTGAACAAATGCTGCTCCTGCAGCACAAGGCCTCCTGTCGGGTCAGCACAAGGCACAGGGCAGCTGAGCTGAACTAGGGAAGGATTGTTGTGACAAATTAAATACAAACAAATGAAAAAAAAAAAACAACACTGCCACTGTGACTTTTTTTACAATTCAGAAAGGAAGGTGGTGACTAAACTTCACCACCTCACACTGACCTCAAAACTGGTATTTCAGGAAACATTCTACGAAAACCTCCTAGAAGTCTTGCACAAATTCCTCTCTGAGCATCGACTGTGTTTATTTCTCACTCTCTTCAATGACTTTTAGATGTGGCAGATGGGTAGGTAGGTACTCTAGTTCTCTCTTCACGAGGAACAGACTGTGAAGACCTCATAGATTGACAGGAAGGTTTGCTACCCAAATTCACATTGCCACTAAGTGATTTCGATTTCACCTATAACCTCTCTGGAAACCCAAAGGCTGCAAGAGCTATTCTGATTTGGCCAGGGATCTGATGCTCTTCTTCTGAAGCCAGGATATTTTTCTTCCTAGAAGATGCCTGATCTTGCACTTTATTTTCCACTCGCTTCTTCACTGAGCCCAGACTTTAACTCTCTCGTTCCTCAGTGAAATTATTTTCTACTGATATCATACCATATCTTGCTAACAGTGGGGTTTAAAAAAATAAATAATTAAAAAAAAAAATCAACAAGTTACTCTGAAGAGAAGGAAAACACAATGGTTTTAAATTTCTATCAGGCTTAAAAGCAACTCCACTGCATTCTGGGTGTCTTCTGAAAAATTATGATGAACAAAAATATTCCTGCTAATAAAAAAAAAAATCAAGTGCAGGAACTTGAGAACATGCCCAGCTCCCTACAGTCCCCCTTATCTTTTGAGTGTTGTATCTTAATTTGTCTTAATATCCAGGCAGACATAAAATATGTATGCAAAGACAACAAGGATCATTCAAAAGATCATTCTTTGCCATTTGTTTTTGTTTAGTATAAAAAATACAACAGCATTATTTAATATCTGCATGATTTTTTTGAGTAATAACAATTTTTGGGGTAAAAAAAAAAAGCTTTCCAAGTCTGTTGAAACACAGTTTAACTTGAAATAACAAAATGCTGGAGCAACCATTTAAACAATAATGCTATGCTTAAAGCGCAAGTACTTGAATTTCAGGAAGAGCATCCCTCAGCCTGAACTACACCTTGCAATTCATCAGATGGGTTGATTTCTGTTCCCCACCCTTTGGAGCAATTTGTGCCACCATTAAGGGAGTCAAAACAAGGAAATTACATGTTTATACATACTTTAAAAAGTGTTATTAAAAGAAAACATTTGTGTAATTTAGGTGAAGTTCATATCCCATGTCAGAACAAATGGGATTTCCATCTGATCTAGCAACCAAAAGACTGCTGACCACTTTTGTCTCATAATCAACCACCACCAACACAAAATTGTGGCTGCTGACCAGGAAGGAGAGCAGGACGCAAATAGATTTGAGGACTCCCTTTAGTGAGTCTGGTTAACAAGGGCACATTATGGGGAAACGATTACTATTGGTTCTCCTTACCCAATTAGGAAGGTGGGTAAGTAAGAGGAGATGAATTTGCAACAGCCTCAGTATTGCACCTTTCAAATGTTATTCAAACATGAAATAAAAACAGCAGGATGAGAATCCACAGGGGCAGCCCTGTGAGCACCTGCCATGAGAAGAAACCCACAGCAAAGGAAAGGTCAGGGAGAGCGAGAGCAGTGCTGCTCTGTAATTCATCAGTGATAACAGTACAGCCACCACCTGTGTCTTCTCTAAACCTCACTCAGGTTAGGAACAGGAACTTTGATGACAATGTCTCCCCTTCATAACACTCACTGCAGAAGAAAGGGTCTGACCTCAAATCTGCATACCAGAGGCATACTCCTTTAGAGAATGTCAGCTCTTACACAGCTTAGCTTTCTTCAACAGCACACTAAGTTACCCCAGAAACTTGGATGCTAATGAACACAATAGGCTCTGTATTTCACTTATGCACTTACTGCTCTTGAGAACAAATGATGCGCACGATGCTGCACACAGTTTTGTAGTGCTGAGGCCACAGTCAATATAACAAAAGGCTATTGCTCAAAACTCAGGCATGTTATTCCTTCTAGAGCTTTAAATAGTTTGTTGTCCTGGAAAAGAATCTTAAGAGTTATCTTACATGGTGAATTCAGGAAACACTTCAAAATCCTCATAGTGTAGTGACTTACTAGGAGTGCTGACCTCTCAGTAACAGGTTACCAAAGCTTTGTAGCAGGTTGATCAGGCTAGTTGTCAGTGTAAGAAGAGAAGGCTTCCTCCTGTATTTCCCTGTGCTATTATTTACAACACCAGAGCCAACCATTAAACAAGCCTCTTCCATAAAATAAAGGAAATATTGTATGCTCTTGGAAGCAGAAAACATTTCCCCTTTATTGTTACAAATCCTTAATGACTTTCTTGGACTTATTTACTCTGAGGGTGATTTATTTATTTTTTATTGCATCTGCTACATATATTTTACCTCTGAGATAAACAGCATTTGAATAATAAGCTACTCTGTGTAGGAAACACCCAAGCCCTGTTTATAATACTGCTTATAATTAGAGATGTCACTGAAGGGAAGCAGTTGATACAAACTTGGCAGGCAGCAAAGCTTACTGATTGCAATGTGTTCGCAGTTCCTACGATGTGCTGCCTGGATACACCCACATAAAGCTCACATCAATACAGAGTTCTGAAGGTCAACCCAAATTTTAACAGCAAACAGGAGAAATCAAAGCCCAGTCGGTAACATAATATTGTTAATATTCAACCTAAGAGAAATAACAGCTGGCTAAACCTAGAATGGAGTTTTGATTATTACTGTCAACTTGCACGTATTATTACCCAGAAATTGATCCTTAATGAATTCTAATGATTGTATATGTTATGGTCAATGCGTTTAATAGAATCTGGAAGAAGCAGAATGCACCCACTGACTTCCCTTTCAAGTGCTCCTTTCAGGACTAAGGCTTAATAGTATGCTTTTGTAATAAGACAGTAAGTCTGCTGAGACACTATTTTCAACAGATATACCACTACAGTTAATACTGTACCAATGAAAATTCAGCAGATGTCAAGGACTGTCCTGCCTTAATACTCACTTGAAATTAAAACAACAGTACTATTTAAAGGATGTGGTGGTGCTGATATTCATAGCTCATATCTTATGAAGTGTTAATAAATAAATATTTCAGTATTTTCCGTTCTTCTGCTGGGATCACGTTGATATACAAGAACACATAGGAGTTCCTTCTGTTGGCCTCTCTATCCTGTGACACTTCTTTTATACTGAAGTTCAGATTTAACTAACAGTAACTCTTAGAATTTGTATTGCAGTCTGAGTCCTATAAATCCACCCTTAAAGCAGTATGAACACAGCCAATATCCAACAGATATAGTTTATAAAGCTATCAAACATGCTACTTTAAAGGGCAGTTGTGCAACTGAAATATTATAAATTTTTTTTACGTATGGACAGATAATGCTGCACATTTAGACAGCATTTTATAGCATATAGTACAACTGATGTTTTGAAAAGCGTGCAGTCTAAAAATACAGAGGTATCACAGGACTGAATTAACCTCACAGTACACAAACAGGATGGAAAAGAAAACCTGAGCATATCCATATGCACTATCACTAACACACTGTCTTGGGCATAAGTACAAAGGGACATTAAATCCATCCTATCCTCAGGGCAGGATTTGCATTACTTATGTAAAGCTAACGTATGCTGGTACAACCTGCTCTGAAAGGTGCCTGTGCTGCAGATCATAGCATACCTCCCCTGGCACTGTGCTCCCCACCATCAAGGGTCCCCTTACCCCCACACCCAAAGCCTGACCCGTTCTGTGACTCCTGATCACGCCTGCAGCAGGCAGAGACACCATCCTCTTACCTGCCTGCAGCCTTGCCCAACACCATGGCTCTTCCACTCCTGTCCATAACCCACGTGTGCTTATTAGCAACCCCAGAAAAAAACAATGTTTTTTATTTATTTAAAATTACTACCTTTCCCACTGAAATATCTAAGTATTGGGGTTCATTTGAATCTGTCTCAGAGGAGAGGAAAGAGGATGTTAGTCTGCTCATTATCAGGCTACTTAAAGTTCTCAGATATGCTGTGCAGTATATTTGGCTGTATGCAATGCATACAGTGTACAAAAGGACCTGAGCCTATCCAACTACATGGAGCAGCATATTAGGCATCAGGATGCTCTGGCATGTGCATCTACTGAAGAACGTCCTATCTAACCAAGCAACAATTCTGCAAATAAGATCAATGTGTATTTACTGTGCTCACAACAAAACAAGCTTTCCTAGTCTCAGTTGTGCTTTGCCCTCCCATTATCTCTGGACAGAGAATTTTCAGTCACAGTAAACTCACACTAACTGAAATCATGTAACAACAAACTACTGGTACGTAATTTAAATACAGCGATAACTAATAAAAGGTTGTGAATGCATTTTAAACAAAATGCTGTTGAATTAAAACATCCAAAACCAATCACTTATGCCAAATGCTTTTTTAGAAGAAAAAATTTTAAATCCCATCAAGAAACCCTCTTGCTGATGAAGAGTTCCCACATGATTAAGACCCTAGTTCTCATATGCTAAATGCTAGGTCACATTGGTTTTTTGCTCTCTTCACATCAATGCAGTACTACTCAAAAACCTATGACAAACAGGTCCTGATGTTTTGTAAGGCATTACTTAGCTTAAAACCCACCACATGCTTTATGTCTTAGGTCACAGAAAGGAAGGAGTGAATGTAGGCAAAGCAATGATTTTGAAGCTGAAGGGGATTACGGGATTACAGCAGTTAGGCACCTGCTGGACTTGCAGTGTCCTTGGAGGGCTGTGTATCTTGTATTTTCCAGGGGAATGAGAGAGAAATGGAGCTTTCTGAATGCCCCTCCAGCTAATCCAGGGAACGTACCTTTGCAAACTACATGTCAGCCTGATACCTACCTGCCTGGTTACTGCTCCATCTGTGAGCCTTATTTCAAACAGCATCAACAACATAGCAGGAAAACAAACAAGCAAAACCAAAATACCCCCAAAATAAAATAAAATAAAATAAAATAAAACTAGACCAATTCCACTCAATTAATCTGCTGAACATCCATCAGAGAGTGCCTGCTCTGAGTCATGGCGGTCATTCCCAGTGCTTCCAGAAAAATCATGTTTTCACCCTTAGTCCCACATGAAGACAATACTCCTATGCAATATTCCCATGTAATACTGCAGTGCTGCAGTGTTCCCAGACTGCCACCACAAAACCAGGGTGAAGGAAGAGAACCTGAGCCTTTTATTGGCCCTAAAAAGCTGAAACATATCCAACTTTCCTCAATTAAAACACTTAGGAAACAGAAGAGTTGGAAGCCAAAGTCACCTCATCTTCCACAGACAAAAGCACATTTTAAAACTAGCATAAGCAGTAACAGCTGAATCTCTCTTATTCATGTTACCAAATTGCTTTCATTAAGTTTATGCTGGTTTCCCCAGCATGAAGCTTGCATTGCAAAGAATGGAGTTCTAGCAATTCACATGCAGAAGTGAGTTTTAAAGTATAAATAAGTAAACAAGCAAAACAGTGAAGTCTATTGTATCAGCACGTGCTTACACAATCCTAACACACATCCTCTATTTAAAATAACCATTATCACCCAGATTCTTCCCTGCAGACCCAACTGATAATCTTATAAAGACAAATACCCACCCAGCACAGCTAACTAATCCCCTAACATCCAGATATACTGTGTGAAACTATCTCTCCATTAAGCATTTCTGTGGCATTATTTAACAGAGCACTGAAATTAAACATCAATACCAAAAATTCAGAATTTAAGCCAGAACTTTCTCAATTATTTGTTCTATTCTTTAGCTTTATAGCCAAACCATTTGTTGACTTCCCTCTTGCAAACATGCAGAATTCACCATGGTGAAGAAAACTGAGGTTTAATTCTAATGTGAAATACAAACTATAGAATAGATCCACCGTGCAAAGGCAGCACCTTTCATCCAAGCCATTTCTCAAACAGCCTTACCACAAGTTTGGATTTTACAGGAAAAATCTGTTAATAGAGTACCTGTCTAGAAGGAAGAACAGGGGAAGCTGAACCTACAGATGATGGAGAAGAGGCAGCAGCTGAATCATGAGGTGGAGGGCAAGAGGGAGTTGGGGGCTGAGAATGGGATAAGCCTTTAGTAGGCAGCTTATTCTGTGTAGAGCAGAAACAGAGGAGAGTTATCCAAGAGAGTGACATTAGCACAGGTTAAGAGAATAACTTCACAGTCATGCACAAGAAAAAAAGATTACTACAATTTTGCACCATTCTCTAATTCTGCATAGTGAGGAGCCATTGAAATCGTCGTGACAAAACCTTCATCTCAGATGGCATTATTATACTCAGCTTTCTTATAAAAATAATTGCAATGGGCAATAAGTTAAGAAAGCATTAAAAAAAAATGCTACATGCCAAATTTCACTGAGAGCTACTGCTCACCAATTCATTAGAAACAGTGAGACAATAGTGTATACTTGTAAACACAGCAAATAAACCATGCCAAGACATTTCTCTTATGCTATGGTACTCTGACCACCTTTATGATTACAATTGTGTTTTACCTCAATTAAATTATGCAATAATATTTAAACTGAAGTTTTTACCAAATTTAATGGAGTCCAAATGACTTATCCGATCTACTCAAGATGAATGAAAGGTTAAAAGCAAAATCATGGCTTTTTTTATTTTTTATTTTTTTTTTTAAACCCAAGAATTCTAAGATCACTCTTCTAACTCAGCAATTCTGCAGGTACAAAACCTAATATTCACCTTTGGAAAATCCATGTATCCAAACAGTGAGGCAAGATGTGCTGCTTTCTCTTTAATGTTCTTTTTATGGAATTCTCTATTTGCTATGGTCTGAGCTCTTTTCTGCAGTAAGAGTCAGGAAAGGAAAGCCAGGGAAAGAAAGAGAGAGATTTCAGTTAACGACACAAATATCATCAGAATACAGCAAGTATGCAGAAAGTATTTTAATTCTCTTAATGTAACCTAAACTGAACAGATAAAAAGCAAGCATATCCAGGGAAAATACAGCACGCAGATTAATACATGTGGTTAAGAGAAAGGAAAAGTAATTGCTTATCACCTGTTTCATTTTTTCATCCAGGTGCTGAAGACGTTCAAGCACTCCAGAAAGTACAAATGCAGCAGAACAAGCAGATGCAAGATTTTCAGATGTTTCTGACAGACTGCGCTGGATATCTGTTTTTTCTAGAGCCTTTGGTCTCCTCGCCATATGATCAGAACCATTTAAAGACTGTTTGGTTTCCCTCACCTCGTGTTCAGGTCTAGCTACCACCTGAAACTGGGAAACACTTGAAGTGAAAAAAAAAAATCTCCCTTCTGCACTACCATGCAGCACACTTGGTTTTTAAAGATGCTTACAAAAGCACAGCACAGTCATGCACAGAATTAGAAATGAAACGCTCTCCTGGGTCTCACAGCAATCTCTCTCCACTATTTGTTGCACATCTACTGCTCATGCCCATGCACAGAAACACATCAGTGCTACTTATGAAAGTGCTGGCATCCTCCCCTAAGTCTATCCCAGCTTCTACACCAATAACCCCACACAGCATCAGTGGAGAACATCACAGTGTGTCTCCTTCTAGTTTTGCTTTTGTTTTATTCAAGATTTTTTTTAGCACTGCATCTGCCTGAAACCAGGGAATGAACTTGTGAAAACACCAGCAGTCGACTTTGGTGTAATGCTAGATCTAACGTGACATGACACAAGATGCAACATTCTTCAGATTTGAAGCATTTTCTGAGGAGCTCAAAATGGGTCTCTGATTTTCATATAAAAGAGCTTTTCAAGTAATTGAAGTCAGTCAGTTCAGCTTTTTCAAATTCAGTCCTAATAACTACTTTCCAGTTGGTCTTTTCATGATAGTTTTCTACTTCATTCCATTTGTCCAATTGAAATAAATTATACAAACTTTCCAAACTTCTCAGAATCAAAATTAAAAAAAGCTAATCCCAATCAGTGTGGTGTGCTCCCAATGTTACAGAACAGCACACCTGCTTTAAAAATAATCAATTCACAACTTGTTAATGAATGTGCATTTTTTTTCAAGCTGCCATGAAGAATTCCAATGCAATTCAGATCCCACTTTGCTGCAGACTACTCTTGGAAGATCACTACAGAATATTTACTAACATTGAAAATTAAATTCTAACATAAAGTGAATTAAACTAAGTACACTAAAAAATTTCACTCCATGTATATGATGCTGCAAAAGAGCTTCTAGCAGTATTTCTCACAAGTTCTACTTAAAGAAGTAGAAAATCTGGTCATTAAAATCAGATTTTCAATGCTCAAGCCTTTATCTTAGATATACTGCCAGTTTTCTCAGAGTGGAAATAGCACAAAGCATTATGTACATACACAGAATTTTTTCAGCTACTGTTGTTCTTTTCTTGCATGCTAAATGCAGATATGCAATGATAGTTACACAGAGTGAAGTCCAGGTGTGATTATACATAAATCAACACTACAGGTTGTCCAAGTTCTTTCCATGCAGATACTACTTCTTTCCAGAAGTTTTCTCATCTGGTCAAGCAGGTCTAAAAAAGCACTGAACTTCACAGTAGTTTTCATAAATCTTAGCTAAGTATATATATGAATGAGTCCTCATCAGAAAGAGGAACAGTACGCTTGTCAAATGTTACCCACGTGAGTTCCTACCTGCCTTTTTGGTTGAGATAGAAGACTTGTATCTTTAGGTTGAGCAAAGCGAGGATTAACAGGAGAGTCAGAAGAGAGCTGTGCTGGTCTATCTATTTGCTCCTTGTATAGTTTTATTTTTCAATTATAAAGACAGAGTGGGGGAAAAAAAAAAGGAAGATAGTAAATAGGATTCCAAGATATTGAGAATAAGAAATAAAAGCTGTTTTTAAACAGATACTACTACAGAGCTTCATCAGCATGTTTTGCAAATTTTCGTCCACAAGTCATTTTACTAACCTTTAACCTATTAAGCCTCAGTGTCTTTCTTGTAGCGAGGGGCCCAAAACTGAACACAGTACTGAAGGTGCAGCCTCACCAGAGCTGAGTACAGAGGGATGATCACCTCCCTGCTCCTGCTGGCAACACTATTTCTGATAAAAGCCACGATGCCATTGGCCTTCTTGGCCACCTGGGCACACTGCTGGCTCATGTTCAGCCAAGTGTCCATCAATACTCCCAGGTCCATTTCCTCTACACAGTCTTCCAGCCACTCTGCCCTAAGTCTATAACGTTAACCTCTGGTAAATGCATCAAGGCTTCCTTGAACATGAACAAGCAAAGTTCTGTACAGGTTTCACAAATTCTAGGGCACTGACATAGCTGGGAAGAATGCAGACAGCAGTGGTTGACTATCAAAGTCACTTGACAACTATGAAGACTGCACTTCTTGCAGACTTAAATATTTAAATTGACAAAGCACAAAATCAAGAAAGCTACCACTCTTGACAGCTCTTGGATACCTTGCACATCCTTTCTTCAGACTTTTTTTTTTTTTTTTTTTCTCTCTCCAAAGTATCAGGTTTGAATTCAGCTGATTCAGAAAGCCATCTTGCTGACTTAAGTGTGATTTTGAGATTGCCATCATTACCTTAAAAGCCTGGGATTATTTGCTGGGATTACTGCATTTATGAGAAAAAATTCTGTTGTGATACCATACACAGCCCAAGAGACTCCTATACAAATTAAATTTCTAGATTGCTCTACCGAAGATTTCCAGACTCTGAAATTCCACTACATGATATTAATGTACCCTATAATATAGGGTATAATATCTCCATATTACTTACTCATGTTTATTCCCTAATTACTAGGAGGAATACTCTTTAATATGCATAAAGAATTTAAAACATGAAAGGAAGAAAATCCACTTCAAACATGTAATAGATCCACTTGCCGCCCCCCCCCCCCAAAATCTGCATCACACTCACATGGAGGGACTACTGTTTAATTTCAGAGGTGACTTTGATGTTCATCTATGACCTACCTGCCTCCGAAAAATTGTATTTGGAGCATTCTCTTCAAACTTTGCCAATAGTTGAGTTGCCATTGATTTAACTTTATTCTGATTTATTCCTTCTCTGCCATCATTCTGTTCTTTCCCAACACTTGTCTCCTGGCTTGAAAATCCTGAGGCCTACAATAAAAGAACAAATTGTTTTTCTCAAGTATAGCAATAACATTAACAAAGAGAGAAAATAACATTCTAACCAGCAAAGAATCTACAGTATCTTAAAATTGACACTGCTTAGCATGCAAAATTCCATGACAGCAGTAAATAGGGAACACCAATCAATACTGGTGATCACAAAGCAGTCACAAAGGTTACCAACCTAAGAGAGAGAGCAGCAATCAAGCTACAACACAAACTCTTCAAACATAGACAAACAATGTTTAAGTAACTGAATTGCAAAAAGGAAAAAACCTTATACATTAATAGTCTAGTGTCAAAAAGAAAATGAACTAGTGTGATTGACCTAAATCTCTTATTTCTATCAAACAATTTAAATAAATGTAGCTCCTCTTCAGTGCACAGAACAGTGAATTCAAGTTTTCAGGTGACAAGGTTTTTCATTCCCAGCAAGCATAAGAGTCCAAACCCCATTCTTCTAACTCCCACTGCCTCCTCAGTTCTGGTGCTTTGCAATGAACTGGATAGGTGCTGACACTGCTTAACACCAACCTCCTCAAAGACACCAAAAAGACCTTTGCGACGTCTTTTGTTAGTCTCGTTTTCTTCTGTTTTCCCTTCAACCTGAAACAGGAAAGCCAAAACAGAATATCTGGATTAGTACAGAAGTTATGAAATTTAACTAATCCATTCCTCCCACAATACTTGCTTCCATTACCAGGTAAGTATGGTCTGGCCTCTGTTAAATAACATGACCACAGGTGAGCGGTGCCAGCACAGCACTCATAATCACTCTCCTCCAGCTCAGCAGGATCATTCCACACATGACAAGTCCTGCTGGCAGTAATCATGTTTATCAGCAGCACAGGAGCCCCTGACTGGGAGCTCTTACTCAAATCTGATGGGGAAAACGCATAAACCTTGTTCAACAAGGGACCTGCAACTCCTTGTTTACCTGCTTCCTTCAGCACTAATGAGCTTGTAATTCATAAAGCACTAGCACATTCTTGGAAACAAACAAACAAACAAACAAGGCATTAGAGCATCAGTTATTCTGTCAATTTTAATCTAAATGACGCTGGTTTCCAGATGAACAGCACAATCCCAAGGAAATTTTTCCACTACGGATCCCCATCTCCTTCAGTCTAGATTTTCATATGCAGAACATGCATTCATGGTGCAGGTATATCCCTTTCTTTTCACAGAATCATTTGATTTGAAAGCAACCCTTAAAGATCGTTTAGACCAACTCCCCCACAATGTAAAGGGAGATCTACAGCTTGATGAGGTTGGTCAGAGCTCCTTCCCAGCCTGACCTTGAATATCTTCAGGGCCAGAACACCCACCACCTCCTCTGGACAACCTGTTCCAGTGCTTCACTACCCTTACTGTAAAAATATTTTTTTCTTACATCCAGTCTAAATCTCCCTTCTTTTAGTTTGAGACCATTTCCCCTTCTCCTATCACAACAGACTCTGATAAAGAGCCTGTCCCCTTCTTTCTTTTAGCTCCTCTTTAGATACTTGAACGATTGCTATCAGGTCTCCCCAGAGCCTTCTCTTCTCCAGCCTGAGCAATTATTGTCTGTGTCTTTCTGCCTTGTAGGGTTCAGCTGCCCCATTACGGACTTACACAGTAGTATTTAAGCAACCAAACTGCCTACTTTGTTCTTAAGCTATGCACATACTCGGTTATTTTGCTGGACACAACACAAACAATATTTCATGCCTCAGACTGCCCCAATTTGCAAAATAGTTAATAAATGTTTGCATCATTTTTTATCGAATTCATTCTTAAAGAACTGACAATTTATCTAGTCAGGTTATGGAGAGATTTTGTATTGTAAACGTCAGGTTTGGCTCTATTTTATGAACAATGAACTATATTCCATTTACTTGTATTTTCCCGCAAGGTAACTCACAGACTGCTCATCCAGTTTGGAGAAAGAAAAAAAGAGATGGATCAAAGAACACAGTCTTCCTTTATATATATGCCGTGTTTATAGTAAGTCATTATGGAGTGAATAAAAATAATCCCAAACAACTTCTGGGCCAACACCAAAAGAATCAAATGACAATATTTTGATTACTCCATATGCTTTGGTTCTTTGTCTTCCAAGCACCAGCTTTCAGTAACGCAGTTTTACAATACTTAGAATCATTAGTCTACCAAGCAAGAGCGAACAACAACATATTCTGCATAATAATCTATACCACATAAAAGTAGAGTTTGCCTAAGTGAATGAAGCAAACAAGATGTTGCCTTTCAGAATCCACATAAAGGACTTTTGTTACAAAGAAGTGAAAAACAAAGCAATTTAATTGCCTAACAAAACTCCAAGAAAGATCATACTCTTCGTTGCATAAACACCTCAATTCATTTCTTAGTCTAGAGTACAGGAAATCTCAAGTTCCATTTGACACAGGAAGAAAAATGGGAAAGACTACTCAATCTAGCCCCGTGCTGCCAGGGCAACAACAGTCCCGTCAATGCCAGGCACCTCCTGGTCTCTCACCAGTTGTGCCCAGATAAAGATCCCCTGTCTAGCCAAATGAAAGGACAAACTGGATGGTACAGAGCTCACAACGAGATATTACAGTGCTCCATATGGTTTCTGATTTTGTGATACCTAAGTGCTCTTCTCCTGTCATATGTGGATAACACTCAACGCTACTTTTCACAGGGGAAAGAGCCACAAAACTGAAGAGACAGCCAAACTCTAACTCAAGTGGTTACCTTCCAGGAAGTCCTATTTCCCAGCTAGGTGGTTTCCCACTGTTACGTCTTTGCAAATTTCTGTCCCAGTCTGAGCAGTGTATTTCTTGTTAAGCTTCATGCACCATCCATGACGAGGCTGTAAGGCCTCACATAAAGTAAATGCTCCTGACAATCTCACTCCTCAAGCTGATTTGCAAAATATTGCTTCCCCTTCTCTGTTCAAACAAGCCCCTGTGGTGTGAAACTGAAGGGGCCCATCATGCAAATCACCTCATGCTTTCATGTAGTGCCAAGAAATTCACCTCCTGTTAGACAGAAGGCATGTTTTACAATGAGAGGTTAGTCAGAGGGCTGTATGCCTCAGTAATGGAAAGATTTCCCCACTACTACTAGTTACTTCTGCAAATAACTCAGAGAAAAATAATAACATTGTGGTCCGGAAAAAAAAAAGTTTTTCTTCTAAAGATGTCACCCACAAGAAAATGCAATGTTTATTTTGCCTGTTTACTTTCTCAGTGCTTAGTTAGATGGGAAAAATGCCACTATGTTTTGTCTGTATGTGGATGTCAGGGAAAAGATATTTCCTAACAAGGATATATGAGCTTACAGGGCAGCTGACTGTCCACGGGTTTAGAAAATATGTTTGTGAATGGAAAACATCTGAGACATAAGTAAATCTAGGAAATATCTGGAAATTCTGAAGTAGTTTTTCAGGAAACCAAAAAGAATAAAACAAAAACAACCCACATCTCTACCACAATTAAGGAGGTAAGATAGTAACAAATGCAAAAAGAAACACATTTAAAACATTGATTAAGTTAATAAACATCCACCTGATTTTTTATTAAGGACACCACACTCAGAGTAGAAAAATTGTGTTTCTGCAGGCAAAACTTGGCAAATACTGCATAGGGCATAAAGGAAACAATGAAGTATTAAGGAGGTCTGTAAAAACAAACAAAACAAACAAATTTCTGTCTAGCCTAGGAAATTCAAAACTTGGAACAGTTTTGCTTAAAGCTGTATGTCAGAAAACATAAGTTGAACTCATTCTGGTGGAGAAGCACACACTGCTGTCTAACTAGCACTGGTTAATTTCAGCAAGACACTACTGCCTGGGAGCTAGATTTGGCAGACACTCCCCATTTAAAATGAAGTGACGTTTGGCTGTGAAAGCAAAACCCCTCCTCAAGGTCTTCCTTCAGCAGAAGACCAAATTAATGAATAAGTGGAGGGCGAAACAGAATAATTTCATTACAGCAACTTCTAATTTAGAACTTTTGAACTTACAGTCCATTCAGAAATACAAAGGCAATACTCCCACTGCACACAATCCTAACTCAGCCAGTATTAACTCCGCTCTCCATACCTCTTCAAAGCACTGTAGTCTTTAATTGCAACACGTACAGGCATTGACGTGTTTCATACAGGGACATAAACTGGGCATGTCAATAAGTTTTCATCAGTAAGTGACACAGAGAGATGTGTCTGAACAGATCACTATCCCAGGGTCATGTTAGTTAAACTGTATGTCTGCTGTTTGCCACCCTTGCAGGCTTTAATATCTAGAGGGGTATGAAGGGCTCACATGCAGAACATAGACAGAACCCTCTAACTGCTCAAAAAAGCTTCTAAGACTTCTTACATACCAGTGACTATTTGAACAAATATATAAGATTACGAATATATATTTAAAGCTAGGAATATAAAGTTACAATACTATTTTTCTTAAAGGGAGTAATAGTCATGCCTAGCAAAATCTCAGACTTCCCCATCAAAAGAAAAGAAAACAAAACCACAACAAAACAAGAACAAAAGAAAACAGTACAACTACAAAATGTGGCATGTAGCCAAACTTCTTAAAAATACCTCTAGGAAACTTTCTAAAAAGAAAGCATAAGAAACATTGCAGGTAATGTAACCAACAACTCCAACATCTTGAGTTGATAACCGCAACTTAGGAACACATCAAATAAAACATCCTCCTTCCCTGCCTTTTATCTACACTGAAGAAGATTGATATGGAGAATGAACATGAAATCTCCTGAAATACACACAAATCCTCACTAAGATTAGACTATTGGCATTATATATGCTTAACTGGGTTTACTAATGCTTCAGCCATTTCACAGTGACAATGCTTCAGTTTTATCATTACAAACATCATAATGATGTAGTGTTCACGTATGTTAATTTTTGTTGAAATCTTATTTTACTTCCTTAACGTGCACACAAATCTTCGCCCTTATTTATGAGCAAAGGAGTTAATTTTCCACCTTTAAAAGACAAAGATTTATAGAGCAAACCATTCTTCACAGTTTACCTTTGGCACTCGCTTCCTTGGTAAAGTTAAGTTGATGTAATTATTAAAGATGAAGTTTGATGATTTTGCTGAGCAAAGTTCATTACTTTCTCCATTTTGCTTATCCCCAGCATCTGTTTAAAAAAAAAAAAAAAAAAGACTGAAGTATACTTATTCAATTTAAAAAAAAAATAATTTGCCAACGCCGCTACATTTCAGCTGAATAGTAGTAAGAATTATGTATGAGAAACTCAGGCTATAAAATGCATACAATACAGAGGTAAGTTTTTAACAAACCAACAAAAAAATCAAGGAACAGACATGACATAGGCAGTCACCCTTAACAGAGAATGATTCTTAATGATCTTATACACAAACTTAGTGATTTCAAGCTGCAGTTATCCAACCTGCCTGGATGCCCACCTGTGCTACCTGGTGTAGGGAACCTGCTTTGGCAGGGGGGTTGGACTCAATGATCTCTGGAGGTCCCTTCCAACCCCTACAATTCTGTGATTCTGTGAACTGCCTCTGTTCTCTGAAACCATCAAGGACCTGCAAAACCTTGGTGTCCCATCGTGTTCTTCCCCCTTTCTGTTTCTAAGCACAAGTAATGACTGCAGACATTACTGTGTGCCAGAATGGCTCAATTGGGAAATGGCTGGTGGCTCAGACGCAGTGCTTGTGAGCAGCCTAGGTGAAGTGCTCCCCCTTCCCAAACTTGGGAGAACACGCAACAGTTCAGCTTACCTACTGTCCTCAGAGGTGTGCCCCTGAACAGCTCATAAAATTTGGAGAGGTACATGACCATGCTGAGCTTGTCAGGCTCCTCAGCTGACCCCACCTCCTTCCCTGTGGTCAAAGGGGGGATTCCAAATTCCCGCTCAGCGACATCAAATGCCAGTTGGTTGTTTTTGACAATGTCCTCTTCGTTCAGTGCATCAAAGTCTCTGTGGGGGAGAATGTACAGGCATCAGTACCAGTTTGCTCTCTGTATCCCCTGGAAACACAACAGGTTCCCCTTGTAAATCAGAGAGGTGCAAGACAAGAATGTAAGAACAGGCATGGGCATTTCACCATGTGAATCCTAGCTCTAACCAAAACCACAAGGAGTAATTTAGGTGAGTATTTTAGGAAACAAGCATGTTATATGTGTGCATGCACACATGCAGATGCACTGCATTTCTCTTTAAGGTGTTACATGCACAGCTTGAATGAGGAGCTCCTGCACATATCATAACCAGATTTATTAGTGCACTAAATAAGTATATCACACATTTGGAACTGCATTACCATTCTCTAACACATTTTCTCTAGGACTTATTTTAAGGCTCCAGTACCTTTGAACAACTTCCAAAATCCATTATTAAAATAAATGAGAATAAGTTATAAAGCTCCAGGCAGGGTAGTTTCTTTCTCCTCATAAGGAATGTGAGCTTTTGAACCCAAAAGAATTTCTCTCTTCTCAACACCCATTTCTGGAGCCAGAGAGTGCACACAGCCCTCTGCCCCAGCACTGCCTGCAGCCTGTCCCTCACTGGCCTGCTCAGCTCCCGTCTGGCCACGTGCTTCCTTCAGCAACCGCATTTAACAGGAGAAGCCAACAAGATCCAAGCAAGTGAACAAACAGCATGACATATGTTAGCTCAGGAATCTTTCAACTTTCTAGAGAGCAGTGCCCAAGAGATACATTTCCCACATACAGCAAGGACGACTTTGCTTTCTACTCTCTCCTTTAGCAACAAAACCATCCATAATCAGCTGCCACACTCATTCCACCCCCTCCTCTTTTTTTTTTTTTAAAAGTTTCTATTTATTTATTTAGCAACTAACCTAACAAAAAAAAAAACTTCCACCACAAAAACCTCACCCCAAACAACCCATCAACCTTTTTCTTAGAATGTGCAGTGTTAGTTCTTCCTCTGATAAAGGTATACAAGCAAGTGCCCTGGACATCATTCCTATTTTTTTTTTTTCCCAAATTATTATACCACATTAAAAAAAAACAACTCAATGATTTCTTTCATTTATCTACAATAAAGAGCAGCTGACAGTAATTCACTCACGACTCCTAAGTCTGTGAGTGACTAATCTGCATGGAAAGGCAAGAGAAAGAACCCACTGCATTTTGGGGACTTGGGAGAGGGCAGAAGAGTCACCTCAGCATAGATGTCAACAAGCAGGCCTTGTGATCCCCTGCCAGTTATTGCCACTCCTGCTCCAAGTTAAAGACCAGCCCTCTTGTCTCTAACTGAGAAACCTTTTAAAATATTCAAATATAAGAAGTCAAGCCTAGGGTAAGGACCCCAGAAACACAGTAAAAAATGGAGAAGCTGGCATACAATCAATTCCTAGAATAGTTAATTTTCAAGGGCCCACATGCCAGGACACTGGATGAAGAACTGTGCAAGGCTGCCATCTCCCACATCACCTCTGTGGCCTGGGGTTTGCCTAGGCTACTGTGGTAACCACTACAGCAGGCATAAGACAGTTCATTTAAGACTGAACCAAGTATTTTTCTAACTGCTGACAGTACCATTACAACTGTGGTTTTAAATATATCCTAAAAACCTGTCTCCAGGCAGACTTGGGAATACAGCTCTCACATTCTCCGAGCACTGCAATTTTCATTTTAAGTAACTGTGTGAATCCCATGAACATAATCACAAGTCACAAGGTTCAAAATTTTCCTAAATCTTTGAAAGCATATGCATTTCATTTTGCATATGCAAGGACACACAGGGAAGAAAAAGAAAAAAAAAAAGGTAAAACAAAAACAACCCTACTACCCTGTGCCCCAAAACCAGGCTATGGTGTGTACTTCCTTGCAAAAACAAATAGAAGTGAATTGTAGAGTACCAGTATTTTGGCTGCTCTTATGCTATACTTTGGTGAATACTTGATATATCCTGTGCCTAAAATCTACAGATGTCACTTACATGAGGTCAGGCCTGAAGCGATGGATAATTGCACACAATGCAAGGCCACTTTTCCAAGAGGTAGTCAGGTCTGTGATGTTAACATTACGGTACCCTTCTGTCTGTTTCTGACACCAGGTCAAGAGTTTGTTAGGTCGAATGTCCGACTCTGCAGTTAGAAAAGAGCAAATATTTCGATCATTTTTTGTATGCTCAGAAAGCTTCAATATTTCAATACAAGCATGAGATACCACATACCATGTCTTGAGAGATTCACTGATCTTCTAATGGAGCTTGCTCTTTCAAGAGAACATTGCTGTAACTCATTGGTAACGTATAATTGTTTCACCTACAAGTTAAAATCATTTGTAACACAACGTTAGAATTGCTTGAAGGGAAAAAAAACTTTTTTTTTCTTTCTAGGTTAACTTTATCAACAGCTGGATCTAGACTACAGTCTTCTGAAGATTTTATGTACTACTTGTGGCCATACGTGGACAAAAGAAACCCAGCAAAAATAACAAACAACTGTGATTTCCCAAGCGAGTCTTTTGAGTACTGACCTGGTGAGGTCGAACACAGCTTGAGTTCAAGTTTGGGTACCTCGTTCCTGGATCAATGGTATACTGGTCAAAGTTCTTGTTAATATTTTCAGGGGTAGTCTGAGGCAAGAGTCGATAAATACTCTCCCTTACAAAGAAAAGAAAAAAAAAAGATGCAAAATACATTGATTATAAGATATTCATTAAATAAAAAGATTTTATTTTATTTTTTTTTTTGTGGTTACCTGCACCTTTATTTTGATTCTGCCTGGACAAATGTTATGCACTAACTGCATAATGCATCCACCCCATTTCTTACCCCCACTCAGCAGGAAAAGGATGCCAGACAGAAAGAAGGTCAACAAAAAGACAGACTCTCAGAACTTATGCCCATATTTTCCTGAGGCAGGAAGAGAGCAAGAAGAAGAACTTAAAAAAAGAAGGTTACATCATACAGTCATCTGGTTTTGCTTTAACCTCCACCCAAGGAGTAACTTCTTTACCACATAACAGCACAAAAACCCATCATTCTGTATTCCTATAACCACCACAGCCTTTTTTATTATGCTGTTCAATTTTCCACTGGGGACTATGAAGCGTTTGAGTCATCACACACGCTTCTATCTTAAAAATCCTCAAAGCACTGTACTTTGTAATGCTCCTACTTGCATTACCACAACCATGACTATTTCTATAGTCTATCTACCCCTAAAAAGCTTGGGTAGCTGCAGGAGAGCAGGGCAGCTGCTGTCAGCACCAAAGTCAGCAACTTCAACCATCAGACCATTGACACACCAGGATTACTGGTGTAGTTAACAACAGGTTTTTGCTCTGATCAAGAAGTCATTACACAGAGAAAGAAGCTTATGATTCAGCACAACAGCAATTCATCTTTGCAGACATTTATCAGACTAAATAGAGAGGGCAGTTGACCTACTAAGCCAAAAAGCAAAGTTAAAAACAGATACTAATAATGAAAGCTGTTGGCTTTAAAGTATTTGTTTACGGTTGTTTCAGCAATGAACATCTTTTTTCTACTGAAATTAAAAAAAAAAAGAAAAAAAAACAAAAAAAAAAAACAACAACAAACACAAAACACAGGTGCTGAGGTGCTTGGAGTGTTATTTCTCTTCACAAGATCATAGAATCATAGGATGGTTGGTTTAGGTTGTAAAGGAGCTTCAAGATGACAGAGCTCCAACATCTCTGACACGGGCAGGGCTGCCATCTACTACATTAGACTTCCCAGGGCTCCATCCAATCTGGCCTTGAACACCTCCAGGACTGAGGCACCCACAACTTCTCTGGGCAACTTGTAGTAGTTAAACTACAGGTTTAAAGATAACATTAGATTTTTCCCACAGATTATACTTAAATCTAGTCATTCATAACTTAAATTAATGATTTAGACCCATGTCAGGCATGCTGCTGGATCTCTGAATCCCTGTACAGAAGTAACAGAAGTGCCACTGTAAGAATGGATAATTTCAACTGAATGCCACTGCAGGGAAACAAAATTTTTATCCAGATGATGTTTCATCTTCCACTGTCTTCAACCAACACAGCAACACCTGAAAACATACTGAAAATGAGGAAGACAAAAGCAGAGCTCACCGTTCAGCAAGGATTTCTAGTGGGGGTTTTCCTTGAGCCCAGCTCCGCACCATCCAAGCGGTATCAAAAGCAGCTAAGAAGCCTCTTGCACAGCCAGTACCCATTGGCCAGAAAGGCTGTAAGAAACATTTACATTTTAACTCTTTGTATTTCTTCAGATTTTATTACAGAACTTACGGTATGAATTTGGAACATAACTTTTCACAGTCTTAGAAAAGCAGCCTGGAAAGAGTTAAAATACAGCACAGCCAACTTTTACAGTTTTTAGAGGTTTCTCTAAGACTCAGATAATGAAGAAGACTGCTTTCACTTTTTCTTTTTTTCTTTTTTCTTTTTTTGGTAACTTGTACATTGAAAAACTGACTTCTTAACTTCAAGAAGTAAGGCCTAGAAAAAAAAAGACTGAGTAGTCAAAAATCAGTCAGGCTTTTTTGTTTGTTTGTTTGTTTGAAAGGTGGTGGGGCAGGGTATGAGGGGTGGGAATTATGCCTTTTTTTCTTTCATTTGGACTAGTCTTCTCAAACACTTCAGGCTGTCAATCTGGTTAAAAATAATAATAATAAGACAAATGTGTGTTTTACAGCTAATGGATACTTTTCACTTAAGAAAGAAAACATACTAAAGCAAAGAGACTGCAATAAAATTTGGACTAAGTTTTTCCCTCTGACTGAAATCAGGAGAGTTATACCATGCACCTAAGCTGAAGACACATAGCTCACAGTTTTCAGACAGAAATACAACACGCATAAAGCAAAACAGAATCCCAGACAGGGACTACCAGCCAAGCATTAGTTATGACATAAACTATGGCATTTAAAAAAAAAGAATAAAACGTCTACTCCGAGGAAGGTACGTTTGTTTCAGGACATGGAAGAGAATACAAAGACTGTTTGACAAGGGAGATAAAATGGCTGGATTTAAAAAAGTATTTGGAAAATAAGCCTAGGTGTACCTCAAGTAAACTGTCTCCAACAAGTGCAACCAGGAGCTGATGCCTGTGCCTTTCTCTCACCAGTGCAGCATTCTCAGATGCATACATAGACGTAAAATCAAACATTGCTACATCTGGTTGCCCATAGTGATTAATTGCAAAATCCAAGGAAGGCAGCTGATAGTTGGTTGCAAAGTCAGCAGCTTCTCGAGCGTAGGACAGCAAATTGCTCTGGTTCACATTCTCCCCACAGAGGAGTGACTCAGTATCGATGTAGTCCTGCAAGAGAGAGGGGTGAAGGATTACATACTCCATCTAAACTCTCTGAAGTGGAGCCTTGATGTCTCATAGCATCAGAGCGGAATGTACATCTCCCGGCGTAAAGAACCAAGGGAAATTTATCATGATCTCTCAAAAGTACACAAATATAGGTTTCTTCTGCTACCGCAAATAGGAACACTGTGCCAATAGTGAAAAGCAGCTTTATTTGCAATAAAATACTATGGAGCGTCCCAGCTCTTTAGCTATGTGTTTTCTTCATAACTTCCGTTCTATCAAAAGATGTGATCATCGTCACTCCAACTCTTTTTCCTTTGAGTGCACACTACATAAAAAAACAAATTGGAGCAGAAATAACTACGAAACAAGGATGTTAATATGCCATTCTCAACCTGAAGGTTTGGCTTAATAGCTCAGTTAAGTCCACACAGTCAAACTCGGACCACAGAAATTTTTCTGTTCTTATCTTGGGTTGATTTTGGGTTGATTTTTCTTTTTCTTTTTTTTTTTTTTCTGTGCCTGTTTTTCCAGTCAGTGTGGTAAAGGACATTCCCTTTATAGGTCACTCTATTTAAAGCCAAAGATTATTAATAAGGCAGTTTCTATTTACAGCTTAATCACGGATGAGACCCCTAATCACAAGGATGATGCCACAGAATGGCTATGAGCCTAGTTGTCTTTCAGCAGATTGTTCTCTTTACTCAGATATGAGAGACTCAGGAAAATGACAGCCAGGCCACAGCTCCTCTTCCTTAAATGCCCCATCCCACCCATCTGAAGACATCAGCCTCTTAGCTCCAGGGGCCACCCACCACTGTCCTGTCACCTCTGAGGCAATCACTGTGGTTGCATCCTCCAAAAAGTCTGGAAATTGTAGCATTGAGTTAAGTGGTCCCATCAGAAAGAAGTCTTCCGACAGTTCCCTACAGGCACTTCCTATGGGAATTTATAATTGACTGTTTTGGCATCGTCTTACTTCACAAGAAAAGTTGCCTACTACTGCATTTCCAGGAAGAGAAATTTAAATAGTGCCTTAAGTAGTGCCAAAACACTTTCTAGAAACAAAGGAAAACAACCTCTTTCTTTTAGAGAAGAAAAAAAATAAATAAAAGGAAAAAGAAAAAAACCACTGTTTTTCAAAAGGCCCCAGAAATTTCCAGGTATTTTTGAAAGCTCATGCCCTCATGTTTACACACTTGTTCTAGCAGGTTTTATCAACTTCGGAGAATTTGCTACTTAACCTGGGGTAGATTATAACACTTCCTCGTTTGTCTGATGAAGCTGGACATAGTTGTGCGAGGTTAACCTTAAACAAGGTTCTTATTTTTGGGGTGGTGACAACACCACACATTTCTAAGCTGAATGAAAATCTCATTTTTGCCAGTCTAGCAAGTGAGAAATTTAGCAAGTATAATTTTTACCTCTCTATAGAAACTTTGTGCTAATAGGAAAAACAACAACAACAGTCAACAGTGTAAAGCCTAAGTGATCTGAGCTCTAATCAGGTGACCTAATAAGTCTATAAACACCTTCCATAATATGGAATAACATTTATGCAGATGTTCACAGTTATTATGTGCCAAGTAAATGAAGTAAAGCTTTACCCAGAATTTTTACATACATTTATAATCACTCCTTTGTCCAGAAGACTCTGTTTTTTTGCCGTCATCACAAAATAATGTGTGCTATCTTTGTAGTAAACAATATTCTCCAGGTCAATTCCTGAAAGAGAATACATTTGTTACAACGCACAAGGCATTTTCTGTCATTTACTAATAACACTATAGTGAGACCTACTAGGTCTTCTTGTTCCACTTTCCCAAGGAGTGACCCAATGAGTTTGTCTCAACATAATTTAAAGATATTTGGCATTCTAGTAAGGAAAAGCCAGTTAATTACAACCTTATTAATAGGATGTTTGATAGGACAAAGGGGAACAGTTTTAGACTAAAAGGGAGGAGATTCAGATTAGATGTCAGGGGAAGTTTTTCACTGAGGGAGTGGTGATGTGCTGGAACAGTTTACCCAGAGTGGTTGTGCATGCTCTGTTCCTGGAGGTGTTCAAGGCCAGGTTGGATGGGGCTCTGGGTAGCCTGATCTAGTGTCTGATTCAGTGGTTGGCCACCATGCCCAAAGCAGAGGGTCTGGAACCAGGCAATTTTTGAGGTCCCTTCCAACTCAAGCCACTCTATGATTCTATGATGAATCTTCCGGGGGTGAGAAAGAGAAATAAAAGGAACAACATGCTTTTTAGGTTGGTAGACTTCTGCCTTTGGGTCTAACCAGAAGTTTTGATGTTGTTACAGTAGCAATATCAATAATAAATTAGCTGTAAGAATGGAATTGTTTGTACTTCCAGGGGATGCAACTATTCTGAAACCTCTTTTCATACAGATAGATGTATTTCACTGTTTATATTCAAATATTTATGGCACTTTATCAGATCTGCACATCGAAAAGAAAAACAAACCCCTCCTAGAAGGGCAATACCTTTTTCACAGGGTTCACTCAGTATGTGAACAGACACACACAAACAAAACAAACCATGCCTTCAGGGAAATCTTTGGGCACTGAAAGAGCTCTGCTCAAGTTGATTGGACATGGCTTTTTTTTTTTTTTTTTAAACAGTTGAGAAAAATTTAAACACCAAAACAAACAACAGTGTGGCAACACCTAAGCTAAAAAGAAAATCCCACCACATCGTAAATATACATAACTTCCCTTGGCAAGATTATGACATCATCAGCACTTTATCATTTGTTTTTTTTTAATAAATGTATTCAAATTGATGCTAATAGAAATATTCTCCACCTGTTTCCTCTTTAAGGTCTTGGAAGAACTTCTGATTGAAGATGAAAGCAACACCACTAATTTCTTCTACTTTGGCTTCTGCAGTTGTATTTCTGTTTATAAAATTGGCAGTGATAGCTATAGCTAGCTTTCCACGGAACTCCTTTCTCCTAAAACCTAGTAAGCAAAGAAAATAAATAAAAACACTGAAAACTTGACATAAGAATATGAAGGAGGATCAGCTGAAGAATACTTGGTCTAATCCAGTATTTCATCAAACACCACAATCAGCACATTCCATCTTAAATTCCCTTGAATGCAAAGTCTTTTCCCCCCAGTCCCAGCTGCAAAAGTGGAATTGTACTGTATTCAAGATAAAGTCTCATTTTAAAAACAAACTAAGACAAAACAACCTACTGAAGTCTGAAGTGGAGGTAGGGGAAGAAGTTGAACATGAGAAGTTAAAGAAAAGTGGGGAATGAAGATAAACTGGAAACGGTGCAGATAAACTTAATTGAGGGAAACATTTTTAACCTGCTGAATAACAAATGTGATTTATGTTAGATGGCAGTAATCAGTTTTGAAAAAACATGCAAAAATCATTAGTCAAAAGCAGCATCTGAGAAAACAGAAACCTCTATAACAGGGCTTAGCTGCACACACTAAAAACTAATGCAATTTTTCAAAGATTTTAGGGGTTGAAAAATATTCAGTAACTTATTTCCAATATGAGCAGTTCAACGAGCAAAGTTACTTGCATTCTTACTTCATCCTAATTTCACAAAAACACCTGCTAAACACCCATCTTGCAATTATGCATTCCGTTTTTGTATGTGTATTCCCTTTATACATAAGGAAATTGTGAAGTAGGACAGATTCTGTATTTTTCACTAATTGCACGTGACTTGACAGAGAATACATGCACTTCTATTAAGAAATCAGTCAGCTATGATTTTTCTCACTGTGCATCTTGATACATTCTCAAAATTTCATTGGAATAAGTTAACATGAAAATACCAGCTTCTGTATGTAAATAATCTTCAGTGCATGAAATATTCCCTCAGATCCTGTAACAATGATAACTACCAGCTTCTCAGTTGAGTCTGCAGCTGAGGTAAGAGTAATTTTATTTTGCTAACACCTGACTACTTAAATAATCCTTCATAGGGGATAGACAGCACAAAAGCGTGGAGATTTTTCTAATAAAAGATATAAGGAGTTAATTCTTAGCATATTGCATTTGACAGACATAAGAAAAGAACCCAGATCTATTACAAAGCTAACAAAAAAGGGGAAATGGAGTATTTACTGAACTTAAATTAACATGGACATAATTAAAGCTACAAGGAAGGCATATAATTAGGTAACAAGCTTGTCTGTGTGATACAGCAGCAGCTTAAGTAGTGTCTCACTAACAAAGAGCTCAGGCAGTCTACATTCTCAGCACTGACTCAAGACCATTAAGCGCATGCCCCCCCCTTTCAATAATTTATTATCTTTTCAAACTGTTTCCAAAGTAACTGTGTCTGAAATTAAATCATCTTTACACAGGACTTACACCTCTGATGCCTTCATTAAATACCTGTCAGTCACCTTTTGGTCATTAGCTCAAGCATATAGGCAAGCCTACGGCACAATAGCAAAGACAATGCAATTCCTGACATGCATCTTGTCAGTGCTCTAAGTTAAATAACCATGCGATTACCTAACACTGAAGGTAGCCCAATGGAACCACGCTATATTCTGGAGGCAAAGCAGATACAGACAGTGCTGAGAATCAGTCACAACATTTAAGTATCTTTATTTTGAGCCACAACTTAACAACAAAAGTAGAACATAGCACATAAAAAAACAACTTGTTTTCTCAGACATCAGTGGATTTAAAGGCAGCACGTTCCTTTTTGTTCTCTGACTTCCAGGTCTTGCAATATATCCTAACAGAAAAAACCAACATGGCTAACAGCAGACATTCACCTACCTTCTAATGTGTTTCTGCGGCCATCTGCACCAACAATAACATCAAATTCATACTCTGACAAAGGGTGATCCACCGGGAGAAACTCAGCCCTCCAACCTATCTCTAAAACCACAAAGAATAATATTTGTTCAGAAATACAGCAGGGTTTTCAGTCTGAAGAAAAAGTATCAGGATAAGTGGTCTATTTCTCATTCAAATGGATTTGCATTCTGCCTCAGATCAATGCAGGGAAAAAACTGCGTTAAGCAATGTGTCAAGCTCACAAGCTGTCAACATAAAAAGGATGCCTTTACTTGGATCTCCTGAAGCACAAAACCTCCTCTAAGGCCCATATCACAAGTACATGCTCACAAAAATAGTCTCACAACTACTTTACTAAGGGAGCACATATACATATTAACAGGAAAAGATGGGTTTTAAAAGAAGAAAGATAGCCTCCTCACATCAATATTAATTCTGTCTCCTAAATGGCAATTTAACAGAAGTATAGTAATGAAGATGAATTTCATATTTGCATATTTGTGTTAAAACTGTTTGACTAAAAGTGTTAGTATTGCCAACATTTAAGAGATATATAATAGGTTTCAAGTACTTTTAACAATTTATTTGTTCTAGTATTGGCACATGAACATTTACAGAGGAATAGCACAGTATTCTAATGAAGTAAAATTCAAAAATATTCTATTGCTACTACTCCTTAAATACTAATATATGGAGAGATTTTTTCTTTATTTTGTGCATACAAATCTTGCATAAGATGACTGATAAGACCTTAAGCAAGTGGGAGTTGTATCAAATGTGAAAGCAAAATGAGGCCCAGAGTGCTTCATCCATTCTCTATATTTGTATTATCAATCAAAAATTGTTTTTGCAAGAAGATACCAGAAAGCCACAGCAGACTCCCTGCAAAGCCTCGAATGCATGCCAGAAGACACAGTGCAAAACCTCAACTCTTAAAGCTGGACCATATTTTAAGAATTATCAGAGCACTGTCACAACAATACTTATTATGCCTACAGTTGCAGACAGCAAACCTGGCTAAAAAAAGAAGGGCAAAAGATTCCAGTTCCTTTAAGCAGAATTCAACTACCTTGACAGATTTCTCTTAAGACCTGACATGAAGTTACTCTGTAAAGAATCACATTATGATAAACCATACTTTGATTTTCCTGATCTTCAGGGGGTTCCAGGACTTTCACAAATTCTAGATTCACGTGGATTTCAACTCCTAGCATAAGTGCAACTTTGAAGAGGATAAGTTGAAGTTGTCGAATACCTGTGAGTAGCAAGAAGCAAAGATGTATTCAATGCATAAGCAAGTACAGGTTCTGTCAGCATGCCACCCAGCTGATATTCATTGTTAACAAAAACATATAGCACTATTATTTCCCATACTGTGGCAAATTCAAATGTAGCAACCACCACAGGACACTGTTCTCTTATTTCTCATTTTCCAATCTCATAGGTTATAAAAATGATTTCTGTGATTTTCTTAAAAATAAAATAAAATAAAATAAAAGCTTGCCTTTTTAACAATATTTAGAGTACTTGCATACCCAATCTGCTAACCACCTGAAGAAAAAAAAATTACAGCATGAAAATATTTCCCTGTGAAATACCACACTTACACCTATCTTCTCATTAAGAGCTGCATCTACCTTTAGCATACTAGAATGAACATCAAGATTCTACATACATAATAAAATAAATGTAATTTATTGTTTAAGAAGTCCAGACTAAACAAACTGCTCCATAAGACTGTCATTTGTCCAACTGCCATTTTGCTGCAATGGAATCTTTTATTCCCTCTCCTTAACATGCATATACATTTATGGCAGATAAGCTCTCTGTCGTACAGAGAAAGTCTCCATTAATCTGATCTCCACATCTCTTTTATCGGAACACAGTCCATATCCTTAGGTACTTACTGATGTGATCAATGGATCCTGCACAGAATTTCCCATAAAATTTCTTTGCTCCTAGTCCCCGGAGGTCATGGATTGTAAACGGCCAGAGATGCAACACATTGTTTCTTGAAAAAGTGTCCCGCTTCTCCACGACGACAACTTTGGCTCCCAGGAAGGCAAGTTCTATGGCAGTCCGCAAGCCACATGGGCCACCTCCAATAATTAAACACTACCAGAGAAAAGAGGAAGTTTTACGCAGGATTTGGTACTGATTTCTAACTAATCTCTAATTTATTCTATTGTTATGACTTCATATTTGGTCAGATTCGTGCTATCAAGGATGTCTTCAAGTTGACTGTATAAATCAATGAACAGAAATTTTGTTTGCATGGGGCATTTAGACAGTTTACAAAGGAGGATGAATTTCTTCATGCAGACGTAAGAACACCTGACAAAAAGAAGGAACTACGGAAAGCCAAACACCTCTTAGAATCTGCTTGAATATCTCAGTTACATTCAGCATTTCAGAACTGTTTGCAGTAAAAAGTATTACACCTACATAAAATGGAACAGAAATAAGCAGTCTTGATGTAGGCTTTATTTATTTAGTAAGAGGGAATTGGCGCACATTTGCTGGAGCTGCTAGTTAAACTAGCAGTCTTTGTTATTATAACTGTATTTGTTACCCTCCTCCAAATGAGGAAATATCCTGAATAGAAGAGCCTGGCTCATCTGCTGCTGTAAGGCAGGGGCACGTCAAGGGAAGTCAGTAGGCTTGTCCTGCTTCACCAGAGGTGGGGAACATGGCAAGCCTTATTCCATTTCATGGAGTGGCCAACATCCTTACCATTAAGACAATCACTTCTTAGGGGCTTTAATCTGAATGTGAGCATTCTTAGAAGAAAAAAATGCAACTATTAAAGAGAATTCTCACCTAAATTTTAGCTGACAGCTGTGAGTTTTCACAGATTAACAGGCAAACCATTTCCAGAAAACTACTAATTAAAATCCAAATATAGCTGATGTTTACATTTTCCTGCTTGATTACTAAAAGCTGCCTAGAAACAGTCTTGGAAGCTCAACAACATTCACATTCCCTCACTAAAGGGCAAGAAGCAAAAAAAAACCTCCCCATACCATGAAGACCTCACAAAACCTACACCATCAGTTCAAGCAATGGGCTTGGGATACAGAGGGACAAGGTGGAGCTGAGGGGTGAGCTCTGGATCCAAGGCTGAGCTGTGCTGCAGAGCAAATCCAAAACCATTATCTCACAATGCAGACATGTTCCTGTTTGTCCCACATACATAGCCAGACAGTGATTACAGTTTCAAAGCAAGCACGGACTGTATCTGGAGGCTCAATGGATATGAGTCTGGTTCCCATTACAGTTCTCTTTCATAAAATGGGGTCATTTATTTGTTTTGGTTTGTTCACTAGTTCTCAGGTTTTAACATTTTAAAAATTATCTGGCATTGACTTTTGCCCATGACTTTTGTCCAAGCAAATTACATAAGTATAAAAATGTCTTTTTTCTTTTTTCTTTTCTTTTTATTTAAAGTCAATAACGTAAAGAACTCACATTCACACAGAAATATTAGGTGTTTTTGCAGTGATTTAAGCAAGTATTTTGTTAACTAGTTATTAAGTGAGTTAAGTCAGGTTGTTGTACTTCCATGTCCATACCTGATTTATAATATAAGAACATTCCTCACTGCATGGTAAGTAGTAAGAAAACATCAGCAGGTACAATTATATAAAGGGGAAGAATATTGTGCAGAAGATACCCTGACTTCAGAAGAGGATTGCTGAGAGAGTCCAGGTCAGCTCCTTTCTGTTCATCCTTATGATTAACACAAGTACTCTGAGTTCTGACAAGCCAGTGACTGCCTTCACAGCTACACAGACTCCTAGCAGTGCTTGCTTAGCAAGCAGTTACAAACATTTCACAAGACAAGACCATACAAGGTTTGATAAGGGCTTTTTTTCTTTCCCCTTTAGAGGGTGGGGAGACCGTTAGTTTTTTTTTTGTTTCTTTTTTTTTTTTTTCCTGCTAACAAACTGTATTATATATGTCAGCTGTATATATTTATTATAAATAAATGCAACTTCAAAAGAAACAGCCCCCCCTCCAAAAAAAAAACAAAACAAAAAAAAAAACCAAAAAAAAAAAAAAAAAAAAAAAAACCCAGTCTTTTGAGATTTAATCATTGTGGATCCTGACAAATAATAAAACTCACACAGAAGACATCGTTAGTTGGTATGTTAAAACTTAAGCAGGATTTTACCCTCTCCCTTCCTCCTATCAACACTGATGAATTATCTCACTAATTGCCTGGAGACCCTTTGAAAAATGGTTGTGTATTTGCCATCCATCCATAGTTACCTTCAATAAACATATCTGTCTCAAAACTATTTGTCCTTTGATTTATTAAGGATACTTTCTGCTGACGTAGATCTTACATTTGGCACTTCATCTTCTTTCTTAAAACTTCTGGGATCAGCATAAAACTCTTGCAAAGGTAATGCCTACTGCACTTGTGCTGCTACCTTTATTGCATAGGAAAAGGGACCATACCACTCACCTGTCACAGTCCTTCTTTCCCAGCTCTCCACTTGCAAATCAAGTCACAGAGCAGAGAAACCTTCCTATAACCAGCCTAGAGGGAGCCTTGAGTAACTTATTTTCAGCAGCTGTTACCACAGACTTCTGGTTCATTGGGGGCTGCTCTTGAAATTACTTTGTTGCAATTTACTTTACAAATGAGCATGTGCCTATCCTATAAAACTTGATTCAAGTCTCTGAGTACGTAATGAGTTTCTACGGCACTGTTAAAAAGCACTGTATTTATCTCTCAAATATAATGATCTGCTTCTGTTGTCCCATACCAGAACCAAAACTCTACTTACAGCAGTAACTTCACAGATTGTTTTCCAGGTTCAATTAAGAAGCCATCAGGAAGTTTCACATATGATACAAGCACATGCAGTATTTGCCAAGTCTCAAGTTTGATTCTCCTCAAAGGAAGTAAATCTGACAACTGGAGATGGTGCCTGCTCTCTGTTAGTATGTTTAGGAGTGACAGTACCTGAAAAACCTCTGACAAATGCTTGTACATTGCAAAAGGGCATGTAGTGATGAGCAAAATGACAGCACAAGTTACCCCTCCAAAAGTGGGATGTGCCTGACACAGTTTTTCAGTACGATCTCCTGCAAATAATACACAGATTTATCACTTTGGAAATGGAAGTGGAGAAAAAGGAAAGAGGAAGAAAGAGCGGGAACCTTTCACAACCCTTCCCACTCCTCACTATTAAATTCTCAGCCTGTGAATCCCTTCACCTATAGCCCGTTCTGGAAAAACCACATGAAGCTTAACAGCTGAGAATTTGCAGAATGCCTCCATTGGTTTTCACACAGTAAAGTGAGCTTAAAGAAATAACGGATTTTGAAAGAAAAGAAGGAAAGGAAGAACGTTAGCACTATGTTAAAAGCAAACAAACAAAAAGACCCACAAAACAAGAAAAGCTTCAGAACAACCTTTCCAGTCACAAAAATCTCATTAACTTCAATAAATGTAAAGCCGGAATCAAAACAAAAAAAAGAAAAAAAGAAAAATGTAACTGTAACATTTAGTATTGACATGCTCACACTTAAGGAATGCAGCAGTTGGTAGCAGTATGTGAATGCTGAACACAACCAAACAGCATTTCTTTGCACTGTTGCAGATAGAATCCACTGCAGCTCAGTGTGTTCACATTCATACTGCCCAACTCTAAACCACTCCGGCCTCTCCTGTCTGAGGTACTCAACCATTCAATTAGTTCCAGGAAACAGAATTGTTTCCATGACACACCACCCCTCCCAGATATCTTCCTAATATGAGGAAGAAAGTTATAATCACAGCAGGAATTCAGAACTTTCTCATTTCTACCTTTTCAGCTGCTAAGAATGGAGGAAATAAATTTTGGACAGGAGCTTAACCGCAACTGGATTGACACAGAGAGATCTTGTGTTCCACGGCACACCAGCTAGAAGCACCATTCCCACTCTTCAGTGGAAATCTACATGCATACCAGTGAAAACTAGTGAGAGATATCCAACCTAGATGATCTAACCTCCTCTAACTGGTACACGGTGTTCACCCAAATTACTACTTGGGACCCACGGGGATGGCTCTTGCCACAGGAAACAGGCACAAAAGGAGGCCTTCACCACACATCTGGAAGCCACTGGCTGGTGCTACAGGTGCTCCTGGCAGCCGCAGGATCCCCTGCAGTGCCAGAAGTCCCACAGCCAAAGGGCCTGCAGGCTGCACAGCTATGCTGTCGTCCCATGGCAAATCTGCTCCATCATTTGCACTGGGCTGCACGTGCATTCAGCTCTGCAGATAGCGCATCCAGGACATTCCAGTGCCTCAGACTTCAGGATGCAATGCTGGAGGGGGCAGGGATGCATCAAGCATTAATTTTACTGACACCACAGGATTACATCCTACATGGATTCGAGCAAATGTTTATTCATGATAGAGCTAAATGTGATGCAACATAAGATAGCCATGAAATTTAATGGAACAACACATTTCCTGGATCAGCAATGACTTTCTCTGGAAAGGCTCCAAAGGAAAGCAGCTGCAGAAGCATCTAAGGCAGACAGCTACCAGAAGTGCAGCAGGAAGCTCTCTCCACCGCAGCGCTTTTCATTTCATCCCCCTCAATACATAGAAGAATGCTTTTGGCAGGAACAGGGCTGCTCAGTCAGACATTCCTGACTTACTGACTTAAAAGTTCATCTCACATTTGTAGCCTCAGATTTTATCACATAAATTCAGTGACAGTCACTGAATACTGACGTGTAAATGTACCCTGAATGTACTGAATAGCCAATATATAATTTTTTTGTTTGTTTGGAACATTATAATTCAAGTCACTTCAAAGTTTATATGCTGTTTCAGACAACATTAAAATTTTAAGAGCTAAAACTTTACTATAAACAATCAGCAGGCTAAGTTCAAATAGGTATAACGAGCATAGGCACAGTGTGTTTTGTCAGCCTAATGCATTGAGTCTGGTCTTGCTGCAGCCCTTGTCTACCAAAGCATTTAAGTATACAGTTACGCCCTTACATCCAAGAACTCTATTTGGATGCTCACTGTTTCACTAAACCAAATCCACTCCGGTATAAACACTTGCATCTCCCTTTCTGCACACCAGCCTGAATATAGGCAC